GATGATGTTCCGCCCCCAATTCAAACCCCTCTAGAGCAACGTATCCCCATTCCAACTCCTGAAGATCCCGAAGAGGTAAGCTATATGCCTTCTCCCTAAATTAGGAAGGCATTACTATCCTTAAGTTATGAAGGTATACTTATAGTTTAGGAATACATTCCTAAAATATTTTAGGAGAGATTGATAGTGATATTTTAAGCATTTTGCACTTGCGTGATGATGAATTTTGCACTGAAGAGTTAATGCATTATTCTGATTCAGAAAATCTTTCTTAAAAACAGTCTATAGCTTTCCTAATAATGTTGAAATATTATTTGAAAATGTTTGCAGGTCCGCGGTGGTGATGTTCAGCTCCCAAGTCAAACCCCTCGAGAACAACTTATCCCCAGTCAAACCCCTCCAGAACAACGTTTTCCCAGTCAAACACCTCAAGATCCTGAAGAGGTAAGCTATATGCCTTCTCCCTAATTTAGACACAAATTTATGAATGCATTCTTATAATTTGGGAAACCATTCCTAAATTATATAATAATTCTAACAGGTACAGATGCGCGATGATAATGTACAACTCCCCAATCCGACCACTCAGAACGTGAAGAGGTAAGCTATATGCCTTTCCCCCCTAATTTAGGAAGTCATTATCACTAATATAGGAATGCATTCTTCTTATTTATGAAAATTTTCCTAAATTATTTCAAAATTTTTGCTGCAGAGCACACAAGTCATTGACAAATCCCAGACGCAGTCTGAAATCCAATGCTACGGTTCTGATGACGAGGTAAGATTTCTGACTTACACAATATGTATATGATGATGATGATGATGATAATGATGATGATGATGATGATGAAGATGATGATGATGATGATGATGATGATGATGATGATAATGATGATAATGATGATGTGATTTCTTTCTTCTACAAACAGTATGAAACGTTTCCTGAAAAATAGATTAGTATTTGCAGATGGAAAATGTCATGGAGACTCCAACACAAAAGCCCAGCGAGACTACAACACAAAATACCAGCAAGACTGCAACACAAAAAATCAGCAAAACTCAAACCCCATCTGTCGTCGAGACTCCAAACCCATCTACTATATGCACAGAACCACTTTTGGACAATGATCAAAACTCCGAGGTATTTAACATTTTTAACAAAAAATAATGCCAAAAAACATCTATCTATTAAAAATGATTCCCCACAAAAATATAAATGTTTTGTTTCTGCAGGAAAGTGTGGATCCTATGGCTCAAAACAAATCGTCTTTGGATTCAGTAACCGAGCCCGTCGTCGATGCTGGTATTGCTGTGGAACAAACAAAAAATGTTGGTGATGATGACATCTCTGCATCCGGAAAGAATGATGTGGTAATGTTTTGACCTCCTTGTCTCCCTTTAAACTCTTTGTAATTTTAGTAAAGCCATACAAAAATATAAATGTTTTGACCTCCTTGTCTCCCGAATTTATTATAAATCCATACTAAAAACTTTATCGCATATTCAGGTTGATGATATGGATATTGAAAAAGTCATCAACAGTCAGATTCAGTTTGCTTCTTCCACGTATCCAGTTCTGAACAAAGATCAAGATCCTCAGGTTTCAGATTTTGTTCTCCATTTCTGATTGATACTTTGTCTTTCATAAACTGTATAAAAAAAGTTCTTAAAACTCTTTATATTTGCAGATATTACAAGAAAAAGACATACAGATACCGTCCACTTCCTGCGTAGGTCCTAGTCCCAACAAAGACCAGGTATGAAAAACATTCTTGGAACGTCTTCTAATCATGAGTGAGGAATTTCGTAAAAAATGTAAGGGGATAGGGTTTAGGAGTTTAGTTTCTTTATTTTGCAGGCTAGTTCAGACTTTTTTAGCCAGATTCCATCTTCTTGGGAAACAGTTCAACTTACCCCAGAAAATGGTAGCCCAATGAATAGTGTATTGTGTTTGGAAGATTTAACTGAAAACCAAGAGGTAGATGTCTTTCTCAGAGGGAACACGAGAAGAGGCGTTGTGACTTTACTAAATTTTAGGGAAAAAAAGCCTCTGTCATCATACATAAACACACAAGAAATACACGAATTCAAAATTGAGGACATAAGGGTTCATAAGGAATGGGTAAAAATCACCTCTGATGGTTTTTTGTTTCGTTTTTTTTAATGATGAATATAGATATTTGTTTCTACATGTATGTTAATGGTTATTTTGATATCTGACTCTCCTTATGAACTATTGTTTTGGTAATTGCAGGATAGAACAGATGATGAGCTTCGTCCTATTCATATAGGCGCTAACGTGGAGATAAAATGTGGAGAGGGTGGATGGTTTGAAGGAACAGTGATCGAGATAAATGAAGATGTCTTAATAGTTGAATACTCCAAGATTTTCGTGGATAAAGAAAGAAAGATGAGGAAGAGTGTCAACAAACGGGCAGTACGTCCTAAACATCCGTCACCCAGTGATAGTCAAGATGGGATTAATCTGCTACGTGAAGTGGATGTGTATATCAAGGATCGATGGTGGGCAGCAAAAGTGGTTGTTGTCAAGCAAAACAACATGTACGGGGTCAAAATACCTGAGTTTGATGAAGCTCAATTGATTTCTGGTGAAAACATTCGACCTGGTCTGGAGTGGGCGAATGGCGAATGGATTTCGAGAGAAAAGGTAAAGCTTTCCAAAAAGCTTTAGCATGTAGATTCGTACAAGTTTAGATTTAGGAAGATTGTAACGAAATTCGGGAATTCATTCCTAAAATATTTGCAATCTAATAATGATTTTAATTGCAGATCAACAAGCTGCCTGGATCAAGCAAGACGGATTCTGCCATCGTTTCTCCTCGGAAAAGGAAAGTAGTTGATGAAGCTGTCGAAAAAGCTAACAAAAGATCTAAAAAAGACCAAACAAAAGCTGCTACTGTTCAAGAAGCTAAGCAAGGAAAGGTGTTCTTGAGAAGGACCAAACGCCAACCCAAAGAATCAACGTTAAATAAGACTTCTTTCCGGGGGCCAAAAAATCCAACCTTAACTGGAACGCTTGAGGTCAATGTGGTTATTGATCCATTCCTGACACCACATATTAGGAGACTAACAACCTTGGACGATTGGAAGAATACCACAGAAGGGTAAGTTCATTTTGTTTTATAATCTTTGTATCACGTATTGTTTGTTGGTAACTATTCGTATTGTTTGTTGCTAACTATTTTTGTATTTTGACTATGGCAGATTCCATATTAATGACATTCCTGTTAAGGCTGCCTGGTTCAATAAGTTAGAAGAACCGGAGAAGTGTCTGACTTATGAGGTATTTCTGCCTTTAAGAAAGCATTCTAACCACTTTAGGAACATGTTTTCTTTTGCAGCACATATCTGCCACGATCTTTATGTTAGCAAGGAGAAGGGACACCCATGCAGCATACTTCCACAACAATCATCTCCCGTTAGCTACATTCGTCAAACCTCAGTACTTTGGACAACTCTCCTCATGCTACTCCAGGTTTAAAAACCCTTGGAGAGGTCATCAATGGTTCTCGGATGATGTGTTGTTGGTTCCTACCGGGAAAATAGATCCAGGGAAGATATGGGGGACGGATGTGGATGTAGTTCATGACCTCACTTTCAAGAGTGCAAGCTGGATTGGGATGGTGATAGACTTCAGGAAGAAGCATATCACAGTTGTAAGGTCTGGAATGCCTTCTGACAAGGTCGACCTTATAATGAACCACGTGCATGAATTTGCAGGTATAAGACCTCCCTCTACTTTATATAAACATTTTTTTCCTTTGTTTCTTTTAGTTTTTATACAAAATGGTATATTTTTGGTGCAGAGAGGATTCTGGTTCTAATGTGTGCTGCTACAAATAGAACAATGAAGGATGAGGACAGTATTCCTTACATAGTTGAGGAATTGTCCGGTAAAAACATCCCAAATACCAACCTTCCAGCAAACTCAGCTCTATTTATCTTGAAGATTCTCAAATGCCATTCTATGGGCATTCGAGACGTGTCGAAGATTGAGGATGGCAATGCACATGACATCAGAACAAAGCTTGCATGCAAGCTATTTGAGGAGTTCCGTCCTACAGAGCTTTGAGGAAGCCTTTCAGGATGTGTTTGTTCAGATTTAGGAATATCTTCCGGAATTGTGTTAAGCTTTTCGATTTAGGATTCAGCCTTTTAGGATTTCTTATGGAACACCTTCGGGATTAGCCTTATTCCTCTGCAATTGTCTTGGATTTAGGATTGGCTAGAACTTAATCTTCTGCAACTGTCTTGTGTTTTTGGATCTGACTTATGTTTTAGGAGTGTTCAAACCTTGTTTAGGAAGGGCTTTCTAACATGAATTGTTTTTGCTTTTGTGTCTCTGGTTCGATTGTTTTGAGATATGGCTTACTCCAGGTTGCCGAAGGAGTGCAAAGCACATCATATAAGTATGACGTTGCTCAGGTATTCTTAGATCTATTATTGTCTATTTACTCAATAATCTTTAAAACCTAAAGTTTATAATTCATTTGCAAAATTTAGTAAAATCATTCCTAAAAATTTAGTAAATCATACACTTTATAAAAAGGGCTTAGTAAAGTTTTTTGGAAAACTTACTAATCCTTTATAATTGAACTAAAAACGTTAGTAGACCATTCCTAAAAATGAATTTATGCTTACCAAAATGATCAAGAAAACCGATCAAAAAATTTTCAAAAATTAGGAAAACCCTTCATAAAAATGAATAAAGACTTACTAAAATGTTCGAGAAACTAACCAAAACAATAAAAAATGATCATTTTTCTGGAACGACAAGACTAAGACACGGCTACACAGAGAAACGGTGCAGTCAAAAATGAATTAATTACCTTTTTGAAAAAAGGCATCTGTTGTAATTTCCGATTTACGAGACACCTTTTGACCTCCTCTCTGAAAACCGACTCCCTCTCCTCCTCTATAAAAGCACTCTTATCCTCAGTAAAAAAAAAAGCATCTTCCCATACAGAAAAAAGCTTTAATCTTTTACTTACTGAAAATGACTGCTTTGAGAGCCATCACAATGCAGAAGAAAGAAATTGAGAGGGTTAAGAGCCCGCTCTACAGTACAGGTATTTCGTTTATGTATTACGCTTAATTATGTTGTTTCCGAGTTTTGAATAAAGTACTAATTTTTTTGTTTTACACATTTGATTAGGCCCCGTTGATAGAAATATGTTTCATTGGGAGGCTGTGCTTTTCGGACCAGCAGGATCGCCTTACGAAAACGGAGTCTTCAAAATCGGCATGCACTTTCCTCCAGAATACCCATTCAAGCCACCCAAGGTATGACGCTTTAAACGGTTCTTATATTTTAGTAATCGGTTGGTAAATAATTATTTTCTCTTCCTAAAACTCGGAAAAGATTCATAACAACCCGAGTTCTGCAGGTCTTCTTTAGAACCAAAATCTTTCACCCCAACGTAGGAGATCGTGGACATATCTTCCTTAGGATGCTGACTAACGACTACTTCTCGCCCATTTACACCATCAATGGAGTAATAACTTAATCTATTCTAGTTATTGGTTTATGGGTATATGAATCGTTATTATCAGATGCTAATTTTTTAAAAAAAATTCTTCAAAATCAGATTCTCATTAAACTTCATGAGATGCTGACAAACCCAGAAATAGGTGAGGGGGACTACTATGATGAAGACAAAGCGAAGCTGTACAAGGAAGACAAGGCGGGGTTCGATGAAACTGCTCGGAAACGTACTTTGGAGCACGCTGGGGCTTGAAAACTAATTCCCTCTATCTTTATCTTATGTTCAGTTGTTATCCGAACTCTAATTAAGTTTTAATGTTTATGTAAAACTATTTATGTGCTATGTTGAACTCGTATGCTGTCTACTTTTATTATTATGTGAACAATGTTTGTCCTTGTTTTTATATATTTTATTAAGTTTATATTTTGGTTACTCTGGAATTTGTTTTGGTTGATCTGAAAATGGTTTTGGTAGTTGAATTAGTTTTGGTTGCTTTGCATTACTTTATGTTTGGTTATTTTTATCAATTGGCTTTTTGGAAATAACAGATTCAAAGTTCAGATCTGGTGCGTGGTGACAAGGAGTGGAACATGGAAGAGGCGAAGTAGATGAAGAGGAATTGAAGGGATTAATCAAAGGATCGAAGAAAAGAAGAGATTGGATCATTTGAAGTCGGCACCAAAGAAGATATCATGGAAAGAGATTTTAGTGTCTTGTTTTTCTTAAATAGTTTTCTCAAGTTAGTTACATAGATCTATTTTGTATAAAAACCAGTATTGAAAATGTTGTAATAAAACTTGTTCGTAAATGATATGAGTTTGTTTTGTTTGTATATGAATGTGTCCAACACTTAGGAAGCCTATCCTACAATCACTATTATCTTCTTGTAATAAAACTTGTTCGTCAATGAAAAAGATTGTCTTGTTTCTATATGAATTTGTCCATCACTTAGGGAACCCTCCCTAAAATCAGGATATTATTTCATTAATTGTTTGAAAAGCTTCGTAAAATAAGAAACGTCAGTATCTTTGCAAAATCTTAATTTTCTGATAAAGCTGACTACATCAATCAATCAGATAGAGAAAGGTCATTTTCCTTCATTTTTTGCCATTAAAATTTATCCAATCAAAAAGAAACATTTCGGAATGTATTCCTAAAACCTTATTGATTGATGTTTCTGTATGAAATAAGATACACTTCTAAAACCAAAAAGAAAAGGTTTCACAAAAAAAAGCTTCCACTACCAAAGAGACCCAAACGGAGACAAAAGAGATTTGGGTCCTCATTATCATATATATATATATATATGTTTAATGAATGTATATATTTAGGAAATTGTTCCCAAAATAAACTAAAGGCTCCAACTGGTGATCATAATTAAGGAATGGAATGATGAGGAATGTGCTATTCCTCTCCATTCCTAAAATTTTTTACCATTTAAAAGGAATAACTATTACATGTCATTCCTCTTCATTCCTCTTTTAAAATAGAATGATAAAACAAATATATTCCCTATGAAATTTATTAAGGAACGAGAGGAATGCAAAAAAAGGAAATTAATAAAAGTATATTATATATATTGTTCCATTCCTTCTCTACAATTTTATGAATACCATTTACTGTGACAATTTATTACATTTCTTCTCTACATTTATTCCTTCTAATTTGTTCCTATCATTCTTTTTTATTCCTTTTCCATATCATTCCTATTGTTCCTGAAATGGTCATCAGTTAGAGCCAAAGTCTTCCTAATAAATTACTTACCTTTCTGGTAAACAGAGAAGATATACTTTTGGCACCAAATAAAAGGTTTCGCAAAAAAAGCTTCCACTACGAAAGAGGCCCAAAAAGAGAAGAGATTTGGGCCCTAATTATGTATATGAATGTATATATCTAGGAAATTGTTCCCAAACTAAATTAAAGTCTTCCTAATTTATTAATTATCTTTTGACCAATCCGTCGAAAAAATGCAACTGTTCTAATCTTCTCTGACCAAACCATTCCTCTTCTCTGAAAACGGACTCCTCCTGCTCTATAAAAGGAGACCCATCCTCCTTCGTAAGAATCAACTTCCACACAGAAAAAAAAAAACACTTCCATCTTTGTATTCTTCGAAATCTCTAAACTTCCCTGAAAATGTCTACTTTGAACATAATCAAGAGGCAGATGAAGGAGCTCGAGATTGCTAACAGCGATCTTTTCAGTGCAGGTATTTTCTTTCTATAATTGTGTTTTTCGAAATTCTTAAAAAACAGTTTCTTTCTACTAACATGTTTTTTTGACGATTTTATTAGGACCGGTAGAAGAAAATTTGTTCCATTGGAAAGCGATGCTAATAGGGTCAAAGGATTCCCCTTACGAGAACGGCGTTTTCGAACTCACCATGCACATCCCTCCTGACTACCCCTTTAAGCCGCCGAAGGTATGATTAGGCTTTTGGATTGTAGAAATGGTTCTAAAAAAACTATAGTTTTATATTGTAAAACTCTGAAATGATTCCTAATAACACTGATGTTTTTGCAGGTCTCGTTCAACACCAAAATCTTCCACCCAAATGTGGGTGAACATGACAACGTATTTCTACAGATGTTGAAAAATGAGAACTTCTCGCCGATCTACACCATCAACCGAGTAATCGTTTTCAGCCACGTTTTCAAAATATTGGTTTATTAATCATTATGGTCTGTTACTAACTTCGGCTTTTTATAATTCTTTGAAATTAGATGCTCGCGGAAATTCACGCAAAGTTGACTGCACCAGAGATTGGCGATGATGACCACTATGAACAACAGATTGCCAAACTCTATTGGGAAGACAAAGCGGCGTTTGATTCGGTTGCTCGTTTATGGACGGTTGAGCACGCTAGGGGGGCCTGAAAAAATAACTGCTTTTGTTTATTTAAGTTAATTTAAAATCGTCTTTTATTGAACTCTGAACACTATGTTTTTTTTTATGAAACTCTATCTATGTGCTACTATGTGAACTATGTTTTTTTATAAGTTTATATGTGGTTGTATTAATGGTTTATATTTGGTTGCTGAATTAGTTAATATTTGTATGCTTTTATGAATTGGCTTATGTTGGAAAGAACAGATTTGCACAGGGAAGAGGCGAAGTAAATGAATAGGAAGTCTTGGGAAGGAATTCATCAAAGGATTCAAGGGTGAAGATATTGAAGCATTCAAGTCTGCAACGAAGAAAAAAGTAATCAAGTGAGAAGAAGAAGAGTAATCAAGGGATTCAATAGTCATTTGCTTGTGTTGTGTCGTTTTGTCAAGTTGGTTTAGAAAGTTGTATATAATCCAGTATTGTCTTGTCGTAATCAAACTCGATCATCAATGAAAATCATTACAGAAATTCAGAATTTACAAAGTGTTATCTAGTATTTTGGAAACATTTTAACCAATGAAACTTGTTCGTCAATGAAAAAGACTGTCTTGTTTCTATATGAATATGTCCATCACTTAGGAAACCCCCCCTAAAATCAGGATATTATTTCATTAATTGTTTGAAAAGCTTCGTAAACGTCAGTATCTTTGCAAAATCTTAATTTTCTGATAAAGCTGACTACATCAATCAATCAGATAGAGAAAGGCCATTTTCCTTCACTTTTTGCCATTTAAATTTATCCAATCAAAAAGAAACATTTCGGAATGTATTCCTAAAACCTTATCAAACAGATAAGATACATTTATGGAACCAAAAATAAAAGCTTTCACAAATAAGGCTTCCACTACCAAAGAGGCCCAAGCGATATTCCTAACATATTCGAAAAACTTCCTAAACCATACCAAAAATTTAGGAATCAGTAAGACCTCTTAAGCTTTGTTATTCAAGTCTCAAGCCTTATGTTTTGCAAAAACATTGTAAAAGTCTAATAAATCAGAAATAAAGTTTGAACCTTAAGCTTTGTTATTCAACTCTCAAGCCTTATGTTTTGCAAAACATTGTGAAAGTCTAATTTATCAGTAATAAAGTTTGAATCTGTAATTTCTCTCAGGTTCTTAATCTTTCTTGTTTAACTCTCAAACCTTAAGTTTTGTAAAACATTCTCAAATTTACTGAAATCAAATAATATAGTATAATCTTGTTATAAGAATCTCATCACAACTAGAAAGTTCAAACAAATCAGAACCAAACGGCCTAAACCCTTTACAAAGTGTTTGAAAATATATATTTAGGAACTCGTTCCTAAAAAGTATGGTATATTCCTAAACCAATAAAAAAAGCAATCGTCTTACTAAAAATGATGTAATACCTTCCTGTAAAATTAAAAACCTTCATAAAGGTGACCTGCATGTACTCCTGTTGTATCCTCCTACGTTGCAACGACTACATTTGTGTCATTGGGATTTTGAACCGGGTACACCAAACTCTCCCACTGATCTCTTTCTCTTTGTCGGAGGTCTCCCACTGGTTTGCTTACAAGTTGGTGGTGCGCATGAACTTACTACTACAGTATCTGGGAAATCACAATTTTTCAAATCTCCACATGGGTGTATGCTCTCAGCATATGCTTTAGCCCAGGTTTCCATCAAGTAAGCCTGATCCACATACTTGTTCTCGTCCTTGTTTGTACGTTTAGCTGCAGCAATAGCGTGGACACAGGGGATTCTGTCGATGTCAAAAACGAGACAAGTGCACTGTTTGTTTTGCAGATGAACAATGTACTTCTGAGTCTCGTCCTTTACTTCAAACTTATACCGATCTACTTGGAAAACATCAAGTTTCATTGCAGCATTGTATCTCTCTAACATGATCTTCGCTACGCGTGGTGTGACAAGCGTTTTGTGTTTAAGAGCTTTTTCCCGACGTTCATGAAACCATGTTGTGAGAGTTAACCTAATGGTCTCATCCAGAGACATTATTGGCATCTCACGAGCCAAGTTTAACATCGAATTCAGAGAATCCGCGATGTTGGTTGTCATGATATTGTACATGTTCGAAGGAGCATACAAGCAAGACCACAAGTTATAGAAAAAGACAGAGCAACAATTTAGGATAACATTCCTAAAATCAGTCATATCTGCTTAAAAACATTGTACTTACCTGTTCGAAGGTGCATAACAACGAGCCCACTTTGCAAAATCGGATTCTTCCAAATATGAAGCTAATTTAGGGCTTCTGCTTCTTATGTCAATGAAGATGCTAATGAACTCATGACGAGTGTAAGCGTCAGCTGCAGCTTCTACAAGAGGCAACAAACCAGTTCTCCCATACTTTGGTGTTATATCCCTCAAAAGATGAATTCTACAAATACCATGATGTGCAAGCGGATAAACCACTGAAAGTGCCTTTGCAATGGACTGAGCTCTATCTGAAACAAAGACCAAATCAGACGCATCAGGGATCATGGTCTTAAGTCCTCTGAAAAACCAGGTCCACGCATGTTCGTTTTCAGAGTCAACTATCCCAAACGCAAGCGGATACAAAGAATAATCTCCGTCCTGTGCACTAGCTCCAAGCAATGTTCCCTTAAATTTCCCCTTAAGAAAAGTACCATCCACAGCAATAACTCTTCTCATCAGCTCAAATCCTCTTATCGATTGACCAAAAGCAACAAAGCTGTATTTGAATTTATTTCCATTTGGATCCATCTCAAGATAAACCTTGGATCCAGGGTTTTTCTCATGAACCTTAAACATCCACTTCGAGAGGTTTTGATAGCTATCCTCGGGAGTCCCTCTGATCAAATCCTGAGCAAACTCTTTAACCCTACATGCTTGTTTGTATCCAATGTGTACACCATGATCGCGTCTGACTTGCTCCAAGATTTGTTTCGGGTTAAGACCACACTTCTTCTCTCCATAATTGCTACACATTAGAGTCCCAAGCACCTTGGCAGTTGCTTGCCTATGGTTGGCGTTCCTATGTGTTGTATCACAGTTGTGATCGCCTACATAAGTCCTCACCACAAAGAAATCAGAAGAAGGAAGCTTTGTTGCACGCATCCTCCATGTGCAATTGGGGTCAACGCATTTTAGAACCACCCTCGACTTGTTTGACCATGCTGATCTGAATTCAAACTTCCAATCCAATGCCCATTTCCTCATTTGCAGCATCATCTCATCTTTGTTCTTGATGTGTTTGTTGACATAAAGATCAACTGATGGCTGTGCCATGCCTATAGGAGAAAGGTCAGGAGCAGAACGCAGAGCATCGATTGTAGAACATGTTGAATTGTCGTCTCCATTTGCTCCATGAGTTAGCTACTCAAAAGAAAGCTTTTAAGAACTATTTAGGAATACGTATAACACATTTAGGAAACCATATCTAAATTAAACCAGGAATACTCCTGGACAGTGCAAACACTAACAAAGAGAAATTGATAGCATTACCTGTTGATTTCCTTGTTGAATGAAACAGTAGGTGTAGTTGCAGACATTTGTGTAAGTTGTGTTGAATTTGAAATGCCACTATGAGAAATGGGAAGATTTGGCACAAGCGGTAATGTATTAGCACCCGATAATCTCTTTGCCGCAGATGTTGAATTGTTGTCTCCATCTGCTCCATGAGTTAGCTACACAAAAGAAAGCTTTAAAGAACTATTTAGGAATACGAATAACATATTTCTGAATCCATTCAGATGATTTACCTGTTGAATTCCATGTGCATAAGAATCTTCAGTCACTGTTACATGTAATGGAATAACTTCAGATGATGTTTTGATTATATTGATGAAACTCCTCAGTTGGTGATCGTTTTTTAGAAAAACAGGTGACAATTCTAAACCACCAACTTCATCTTCATAGGAGCTTCATAGCTAAGTACAATAACAGTTCTTGAATCGACCCCTAAATCATCATGAACCATCTCAACTAAATCCTTGAATGAATGATGCTCATCAAACTCAAAAATTGTTGATCCTTCATTTGCATCCACTACAAAATCCCATTCATCCTTCTCATTTTTCTTCCACTCACCGCAAACACAGAAAACTTCAACCATCTTTGTTTCAAAATAGAGCCTATCAAAGAAAGAAAAAAAGCAGGATTCAGTTCATTTATCGAATTAGGAATGCCTTCCTACATATAAAAATGAGCTCTCTTCCGAACAATCATTCTAAGCATTTTCTCCCAACACAAATTCTCACCATTTTGCAACGCCTAAACTAAAAGATATCCTTTAATCCAAAACAACGGCAATTGTCGAACAGCTTTAATGACAAATGAATCGACGAAAGATGTGAGTCGCCACTGTAGATGTGAATGCTAGATGTGAATCTACGTACCTGATATACTCGCCGTTGAGCTTAATCGGATTTGATAATAGATGCGAATCAACGATGTGAATCGACGATGAAATGCGGATAAGAGATAACTCAATCGACGGTAAGCTGAAATTGATTCCTTCGCTGAAATCGATTCCTTCGCTTCTCACCAGAATCTGCGATTCTCTTCACCGGAATCTAGATTGGGTAAAATGAAAACTTTCTTTTCTGGGGCAATTCTCTTCACCGGAATTATCGCGAATCTAACTTGATAACTTTAATGAAGGCTATTTGGGTCCCCTTCCCAAATGGCGGCTATTCCAAAGAACCTTAAGTTTCTTAGGGCTCTTTCATTCAATTTCTCTAAAGAAAACTTGGTCAACTTTTTTAATTAATGTTTATTCAATTATACTAACTTTAAAATATGTTTATATGAAAAAAAAAACCAATTAAACAAGATTTACAGTAAAGCATAATAAGCTAAGAAAATAAGAAATTGTGGTTTGGATAGCTATGCTGTGATTAAGAGCCTGACTGGTTTAAACGCAGCCGTAAGTGCAGAAGTTTGTGGAAGCGGGTGATTGTGGTTTTGAGTGTTATTAAGCGGTTTGTATGACTGTTTAAAATTTTTAAGGCGGATCTATTTGCAGGACATTTTTGACTGCCGAACCAACAGATGTTTTAGCGGTTAAATATAATATTACTAAAATAAACATCAAAAAGAATTATAAAAAAACATAAAAACTATATTCTTATGCTTAATATCAAAATCACTAGTTCAAAATAATTAATAAAAATATAAAAATATATAATTATTTCAAAAACTAATAAATTTTATAATAACATATTCTATTTCAATTGTTGGTAACATCACCCAAAATTGTGTCTAATAATGTAAAAATGAGATTTTTATCCAACCGCTATCGCCCGCAACCGCAAACGCTGGCAGAAAGCAGCTTTTGGATTTCAGCGGTATAAAATGATATAGAGCGGTTTGCAGCAATTTGTATGATTGTTATAAAACGCCACTTCAAGCTACCGACCGTAAACGCAGTGCTTACGGTGATAGCGGATGAACCAATCAACACCTAAAAATACATCATGACCATCGTGACCTCATCTTTGTTATTTTTATCCAGCGTTTGCAACAAATCACGGTCAATTCTACCATTTTGTGTATGTAGCACAGGAATAAATCATTTATAGAACATGCACATAAAAGAAAACTCGAAGCCATATATTTAAAGCTTGGAGCTCAACCTTATCGTTGAATTATATATATGATATATTTTTTTATTAGGATATAGACATAAGACATTTGACCATTTGCGGATTCGTATACTCAAGAACATGCACACGTATAGAAACGTTCCCGTTGCATGGTTTTTTTTTTTTTTTAAGGATAAGCTTTTCAAAATTTTGGATTGATCAGGTAGGCGGTTGCCATGATTAATCAAGAAATTGGGATTCGAGGTCAAGGGCCCATCTGAGACTCTGAGGAAGGTAGAGATTGTTGATTGTGGTTCTCAACTATTTAGGGTCGGTTTGGTAATTCGAGTTCGGAAGATTGATTTTATTTAATTAAGTTTTAAGTTTACAGTTCGTTCAGTTCGGAGGTCCTTTCGACGAACTAGATACAATAACAATGAGGTCTCTATGTTTCCCGAGTCCGAAAAAAGATTCCTTCTACAGTAACAATCCCACTATTTATAGTACATAAACGAGGAGAAATTTTAGGGCTTCTTGGTCAGCTCTCACCGCCTCTTGTCGCTAGGTCTGTTTTCTTATGGGCCGTGCTGTCAGGCCAGGCCCATTTCGGCTAAAACTATCGTAAACTGGGATCAATTAGGCCGGTCTCGGTCTTTAACCGGTCCAAACCGGGTAGCGGAGCGTACCACCAACAGTATGTCCCCCCCAGTTCAGCAAATGGACCTGACTGACTTTTGCCGAATTGAAGCTGGAGTCGTTAATGACCGAGGTCGGCAAAACCGAATTCCTGACTTACTCCTGTATTCTTTCCTCAGATGTTTCGACGAGGGTATTAAGGTCTTTTCACTCGCGGGAAACTGAAGAGTCGTGTCGGTTTAGGCGGGAAATCGAGACATTACGAAGCGCGGAACTCGAGAAGTCGCAATGATTCACTCTTCTTCAATAAATAGAGCTCAGTTCTCCCCATTTCTTACTTTCGCTCCTACTGCCAAGGTATTTGCTCTCTCTTCTCTCAAAATTTTCTTCTTTCTCTCTCTAGGATTTCCGGTCGTCGTCCGCCGTGCTCTCTCGTTGACGGTTGTTTCTCGAGCTACTCCGGCAATGTCCTCCGAATCATCCTCCAACTCTGAGGCCGCCATTCTCCCCGAACACCGTATAGAATAAACTTCGACTGATGTTTCCAATTCGGGATCTACCGAGTACTCTTCGAACGCGTCGCTGGTTCGGAAGAACTCCCGAGTTGTTGAGGTCGGTTCTAGCAGTCGTGTTCCGATTCGGGCCCCAGAGCGAATGGATCGGGACCTCCGCGAGCCCGAAGGCCAGGTTCCCACTGACTTGGTCTCAGAACGGGAACCTGATGTAAAGACAGATGAGGACGCTCTACTGCGTGAGGTCGGGGATGGAGGAGCGCAGGATCCGAACGACGATGACATGATGCCGATCATAGATCGGCCATGCATTTGCGCTCCAGTGAAGTCCACCATATCATCCCAGAGACAGTTCGGGCTGCTATGTTGATCAGCGGGGCCCCTCTTGGGATCATAATCCAGGTTCCCGAACAGGAAGAACGCCCTTGGGATGCTCCTGAGGACTTCATTTGCGTCTACAAGGCGTATTTCTGTGAGGCCGGATTAACCTTTCCTCTACCGTGCTTGTTGTTCGCCTTCTGCAATCGCCGCGGCTGCGCGATATCACAGCTTCAGCCGGCATCGATAGTTAACTTTGTCGGGATTCTCCAGCTTGGGCAGGACATCCGTGCTCACATCAACGTTGCCCAGTTCGAGGAACTTTTCATTATGAAGGTTTCCCAGGTGAAAAGTTGGTTCTTATCGGTGAACTGCAACTCGAAGTTCGACCTGGTTACTGGGAACAAGGCTAGCAAGTTTCCGAACTGGGACCAGAGTTACTTCTTTGTTCGCGTCGATTTGCAATCTGCTGAGAATCCGGAGTGCACGTTCCGGACTGGCTGGAGTGTTGATTTTGGTACATATCTCACGGTTAACTCCCCTATTTCGTGGTCGGTACTAATAATTTTTTGCTTATGCAGACCGCCACGTTGAAGGATTTATTCAACGCTCCCTTACGTCCGACCTAGCGAAGCAGCTGAGTCTCGCCGGACAGCGTCGTTGGCCTCGAGCTTACCAAGAAAAGATTGACCGGCGGGTAAAGAGAGCTCAAGACAGAGGTATAAGTTCCTGATTCGATTCGCTCGAGACAGTTACTTAAATCGTGGCTAACTCATTTTATTCTACTTGTAGCTAAAACTAAAGCCGAGCCCAGTTCGTCGAGACCAGTACCAAAGAAAAGGAACTCGAAGAAAAGCAGCAAGAAGAGTCGGAGGAAGATGGCTTTTGACAAATCGGACATTCCGATGATGAACTTCGGGGCTGATGAGGAGGAGGACAATGCCCTGATCGACATCGTCGGCCTTGACGGGAACGAGGTCGGCGATGATAATGAAGCCGGTGACGGGAACGAGGTCGACAACGTCCCGGTCGGTCCAACTGACCCCTTGATTCCAGTTACGGATCCGGAGGTCGACGCGGTGGGGACTGGCGTTCCTGAGGCAACTCCTCAGCCTCAAGTGGAGGAAGGCGAGATTGGTGAGCAGGATGAGGACGAGCTCACCATTGCCGACCGCGCCCAGAGGAAGAAGGGCAAGTCCTTAAAGAAATCCTCTCGGAAGAGGGGCGGTGACCCCGAGACGGCCGTGAGCGAGGGGACGCTGGTCCTTCATGGAGGGGACATTGGTGGATCGCCCACCGCTTCTCAGGGTCCTCCTGTGGGTCCGGCAGCCGAGACTGGGAACCCGAGGTCGTCAAAGAGGTGTCGAGTTTCTGACGCGTCATCTTTCTCGGTCCGCCTCAACTATAACAAGGAGCGGTCCTTCTTTGACGACTCTTCTGCCTGCGCCGAACTCTTCAGGCAAATAGTTCCGGCTTCATCTCCGATGCCCGAGACTAAGGATCTCTTCCGTCCCAAGTCTTATGCCCGGGTCGCGAGATCCGCCTCCGCTGTAAGTTTCCTTTTTATTTAGATACTTAGGCATTTAAATTTCGATGCATTTCTGACCTTATCTTGATTTTCAGCTCGTCTGCGACACCAACGAGCTTGTCAGGGAGTACGATTCTGAGGTCGAGAGGCTGAGGAAGATCAACGCCGAGGTCGCTGCCGAGAGAGCGTCGTTGGAAGTGTCGTACCGAGATGAGAAGGAAAGGTACGAGGTTTCTGTGCTGGCCTTCACCGAGAAGGAGAAGGTCGGAGCTCTGGAGAAGCGGACTGCCGAGCTGGAGGGGGATATGGACGCTCTGTCCAAGTCGTTCAACACGAGCGAGCTCGAGAGGCGGAAGTACCGAGATGCCGAGTCAAAGGGCAGAAAGATGATGGTCGCGCTTAGGGGCAAGTGCGAGGGGAAGCTGGCAAAGATGAAGGACTTCATGGACAAGTATGAGCTCCGGAAGGCGCCGTTCCTCAAGCTTAATCAGGCGATTGCTCTGGTCAGCTTCTGCGACTTCCTCAGGCGAGAGCACAACATGATTGTTCTGCCTCACATCGTGGAGATGTATGGGCGCAGGATCAAGAACTGCACGAAGGAGGTCGATGATGTTCTTCTCCCGCGGCTCGAGAATGAAGACTTCATTCTCCCGAGTGACGACGACCTCATCCCAAGGATTGTGCTTCCGCCGGGAACGCAAGTTCCAGAGGGCTTGGACCAGTTTGGTTCGAATTCCAAGTCCATCTCGGCTGATCGGGCAGCGAGTCTGAAGAGTCCGGCGTCTGTAGCTCGCCAATGAATCCCTTAGTTTTTTTTTTGTTTTATATCATGTTATTCTAGGTTGTAAAGCTATCTCACCCGCACAGTTCGGGTCTTAATGAATGTTTTGGTCGCCAGTTTTTGGCGTTGTATTGTTGCCGTCTAGTTAGGCAATTTTTCGGATATTAATGAAATGAGCGCGGTTTTTCTTTGACGCGACTTTTTAGAATTTTCTTTCCTCGTATTTTATTTGCGAACTGTTGGGAGTTTGGCTTGTTTTCATTGAATTTGGAGAGTTCGTGATGTTATGATGACGATGCGGACGAACTCGGGAGCCTTTTCCGAACTTGAATCGTGGTTAACGGATTGCTATTCGGAAGAGCGAGTGCGGATTGGATTCCGGCTTTGAATGATGGGGCATCATGGGGATGCGTGCGAGACTGATCTCGGCTTTTGAAATTGTATTCGTGGGGAATACTTAGTTCGATCTCCTGGCCGGGGAGTCGATGTGTGGAGTTAGTGAAAAAGATGGATTTTGTTGGATTTGTGGCTGGACTCGAAATCGAGCTGCCTACGTACCCTTTTGCAAGGGATCAAGCCACTCGTAGTTCAGTTTACATGGGTGAGTTCGGCCGGGGCCGGACAGGTTTTTTTTTTTTTTTTTTTGACGCACTGGTGGCGGTAGAATGAGTAGTCCGAGCTCGCGGTGGCTGGGACTTAATAATAATATCGTTTGAGATTGGCTGAGTTCCATGATCGCGGGATCGGCGTTCCGTCGAGTTGCATGAGTTCGTATACCCCGCGCTTGACGATTCTCATTATCTGATATGGGCCTTCCTTGTTTGTTCCCAGCTTGCCCGCAATTAGCTCCTCGGTGTTGTGAAATACCTTGCGGAGAACGAGGTCGCCTTCGTCGAAGTGCCGACCTCGTACTTTCTTGTTGTAGTACCGAGCAGCGAGGTTTTGGTAGTTCTGGATTCGGAGGAGAGCTAAGCATCGCTGTTCTTCCAAGGTATCAAGGTTGTTGATCATCATCTGGTCATTGAGATCGGGGTTCTCGGGAAGCACGGAGTATCATAATGTTGGAATGCTTTCTTCTGCCTGATAGAGTGCTTCAAGTCTGTATGCCAAAGAGAAGGGAGATTGTCCGGTCGATCGTCGTGGAGTAGTTCGATGCGACCATAAGACTCCGTCGAGCTCGTCTGCCCAGGTGCCTTTCTTAGCTTCGAGACGCTTCTTTATACCGTCCAGGATGGTCTTGTTAGTCGCCTCGGCCTGACCGTTACCTTGCGGGTAGCGGGGAGTCGAGAAACTAAGACGGATTTTGAATTTAGCGCAGCAATCGTTGAACGTTCTAGCGATAAATTGTGGTCCGTTGTCCGTGACGATCTCATGCGGGACCCTGTGTCGGCAAATGATATACTTCCAAACAAATTTTTGCACGTCCAGTGCGGTGATCTCGGAGTACGCTTCGGCCTCAACCCATTTCGTGAAGTAATCTGTCATAACCAGGATGTACTGCTTTTGACTTGTTCATCGGCATAAAGGGCCTATGATGTCCATGGCCCACCGCATAAAGGGGTAAGGCGCCGTGCTGGTTTACAGCAGCTCGGTCGGCACGTTGATCATAGGGCCGTGCCGCTGGCACTTGTCGCGCTTTGTGACAAACTTCTCGCAGTCCGCGTTCATCGTCGGCCAGAAATATCTGGCTTTTTTGATTTTCAAGGCGAGAGACCGTCCTCCAGAATGATTACTGCCAGATCCTTCGTGGATTTCTCTCATGATTTCGACTGTATCATTTTTGGTGACGCAGGCCAAGAGCACTACGGAAGCGCTCCAACAGTATAACTTATCTTTATGCATTGTATAATGAGCGGCTCGGACTTTAAGACGGCGAGCAGCCCATTTATCTTCAGGGATTTTGCCGTTGAGAAGGTACTCTCGCAGTTTGGCTGTCCAATCTTTGGCGGGCTCGTTCCCTGGTTCTCACTGGTCGACGGGCTGTGGATTCCTTCGGTTATGTACTCGAAGTCGTGGTCGGCAACAGGATCTTCGAGAGCCTGCTCGGTAGTCTCGTTTGTTTGTGCTGGATTCTTACGTTGCGCGTTCGGCGAGATTGGGTTCGGATTTTCATCGTAATTTCGTCTCCGGGTGGCAACGTTGCATTTCTGTGTGGTTTTGATGCTTGGTTCTGAGATGCTTTCGACCGGGATTTTTCGCTTCATGTGCGGGTCGGAACTGGAGGCTAGGGCGGCTAACGCGTCCGCAGACGAGTTCTCGCTGCGAGGGATTTTTGTGAGTTCGAACGTCTCATACTTTGAGATGAGCGCTTTAGTTGCTTTCAGGTATGCATCCATTCGTTCGTTTTTGGTCGTGTACTCGCCACTTAGCTGGCTCGCTACGAGCTGCGAATCACAAAAGGCGTGAAGATGTCGTACGCCGAGCTCCAGGGCTAATCTTAGTCCGGCGAGTAAAGCTTCGTATTTGGACTCATTGCTGGATGCTGGAAACTCAAGGCGGAAAGATTGTTTGAGGATTTCGCCGTTTGGTGACTTTAGGCGAATTCCGACGCCTGATCGCCGGTGTGATGACGACCCATCGACATGCAATGTCCATAGCTCACGGAGCGGCTGTTCGACAACGAACTCTTTAGGTAGCTCGATCAGAAAATCGGCGAGTACTTGGGATTTTGCACTGGTTTGATTCTTGTATTCTATGTCGTACTCGCTTAGTTTGACGGCCCATTTCGCGAGGCGACCTGATTGGCTTGGACTGTGTAAAATGGTCCGGAGCGGCTGGTCGGTCAAAACTGTGATCGAATGAGATTGGAAGTACGGCCGACGTTTCCGGGCAGAGACCACTACTGCAAGCGCCAATTTTCTAAGGTCGGATATCTGACCTCGGCGTCACTTAGCGATTTGCTGACATAGAATATTGGACGCTGTTCTCCCCTCTCTTCCCGGACTAGAACGCTGCTAACCGCCGAGGTGGAAATTACGATATAAAGGAACAGCATTTCGCCATTCTCGGGCTTGGCTAGGATAGGGGGAGTTGATAGGTACGTTTTCAGCTGCTTGAAGGCGTCTTCGCACTCTGCGCTCCAAGTATGATATTTGTTACGTCGTAGTAACTGATAGAACGGCAAGCACTTATCGGTCGACCTGGAAATAAATCTGTTTAGAGCGGCGATCCGTCCTGTGAGTTTTTGCAGTTCCCTTTTTGAAGTCGGGGAAGGTAGGTCCAATACTGCAGATATCTGCTTTGGGTTAGCCTCGATGCCGCGCTCGGTGACGATATAGCCGAGGAACTCGCCTGCTGTTACACCGAAGGTGCACTTGGCGGGATTGAGCTTCATCCCGTACTCATTCAGAATGTCGAAACATGTCGACAGGTGCAATATATGGTCCTTGGCGTGTAGGGATTTAACTAGCATATCGTCGATGTATACTTCCATCATTTTTCCGAGCTGACTGGCGCACTTACAAGTCTTTGATACGTGGCCCCCGTGTTCTTGAGGCCGAAGGGTATGACCTTATAGCAGTAGATTCCTCGATCTGTGATGAACGAAGTCTTTTCCCGATCATCCGGATGCATTAGTATTTGGTTGTACCCTGAGAAAGCATCTATAAAAGATAACAGTTCGTTGCCGGCTGTCGCCTCTACCAGTCGATCAATGTGTGGTAGTGGAAAACTATCTTTGGGACAAGCTTTGTTCAGGTCGGTGAAGTCGACGCAAATCCTCCACTTTCCATTCTTTTTCTTCACGACTACCGGGTTTGCTAGCCAGTCCGGGTATCGAACCTCCGTGATCGAACCGGCTTCGAGCAACTTTTCGACCTCGTCGTTAACTGCCCGTGCTTTTTTGGGTCCGAGCTTGCGTCTGTTTTGTTTGATCGGTTTGTATGTTGCATCGATATTTAGCTCGTGGCAAGTGATATCTGGATTGATTCCGGGCATGTCGCTGATGGTCCATGTGAATGTGGAGACATTCTTCTGGAGGAAACTGATGAGTGCTTCCCGAATGTTGTTGTCGAGTTCGGCCCCAATGCCAACACATTTTTTTGGGTCTGTGGGGTCGATGCTGACTTGTTCAACTCGGCTCTGCTTAGGTGGACCGAACTGGCTTACTGCGGCCGCGCTGTCTTCCTGAAAGGGGCTGATGACGCATGTTCGTGCAAGACTGAGCTTGCACTCGGTTAGGTGACATAATCGAGACGCGGTCTGGCTTCCTTTGAGGGTGTAAATGCTTGACGGGGTCGGGAACTTGACGCACTGATGGAATGTTGAAGCGACGGCCTTCATGTCGAACAGCCAGGGCGTTCCCAAAATCGCATTGTATATTGCTGGCTTGTTGAGGACTAAGAACTTGATCATTCGGGCCGAGCCGCCTACGTAGATAGGTATCTTCACCGTTCCTACTGTTCTTGTTTTCTCTCCGGTGAACCCGGTTAATAATTCCATGTAGGGCTGAATTTCGAAATCCAGAAAATCCATATTCTTAAGTGTTTCTTTGAATATGACGTTTACCAAACTCCCTGTGTCGATTAATATCCTGCTTACTTCAACGTCTCCGAGCTGGAGCTCGACGACGAGACAATCATTATGAGGCATATGCACTCCTCGTAGATCGGCATTAGTGAATAATAGTGGTACAGTTGTCACTGTTGTCTGGGGTTGTGAACTCGATGTCTGCCGGCTGTACTATTTCAGGGCTCTGACGGAGTAGTTGCATGATTCGAGGGCTTCCATAATCATATTGACCTTCTTCCTGGTTTTGGGCACGTTCGTATCTCTGTTAGGTGCTTCGCGGTCTCGTTTAGGGGGAACGACTTGCTCTTCATCGGAATCGGCTGCCTTGGCAGCCTCTTGATTACCGGGTTTGTTTTGTCACAGGTTCGACCGGCGGGGTCCGGGTTTAGGCAAATCTGCAGTGTCGATCTCGCCCTTGCAGAACTGTTGAAGTAAGAAGTCCCTCTGATGTCGACACTCCTCCGTGCTGTGCCCATATCGTTCGTGATACTCGCAAAAACGTTCACTTAGCGGCGTGTCATCTTCTCTATTCCACGTGTTCCAAGATTTCGGTGGCCGCCCTGACTTATGGTTCGACGGTCCTGCTTGGTTCACCACTCCGCGTGGCTTGCCGGACTGAATTTTTGTTTCCGAGCTATCTTTGGCAGTCAAGGTCTGGTTGGGCTTTGACGTTGAATACTGCCGATCTTTGGCGGCTTCTTCTTCTTCTTCCGCGATGAAGATGTTTGATTTGTGAAGCGCGTCCTCAAGGGTGAGCGGTCTGTTCCTGCAAAGCTCTTTATGAAAGGGTGATTTGTACCATGTTTTCTGGTATAAAGCTTCGAGGGCGGCTTCGTCGTTGATATGTTCATAATTTGCATCATTTAGGTTGCATATTTCATTCCAAATCATGTTTTATTTCATGCATTTTAGGTCCTTAGGGTTTGTTTTAGAACTTAGGAGATGCATTAGGTCCCAATGAGTCTTCGCATGTTTTGAGTGTTTATCAGGTGTATTTGGAGCTATTTGGAGCTGAAAAGATGAATCCAGGAAGTGGAATGGTGATCAAGGCTTGAAAAATGGTGAAATTGGGTTTTTGGAGGTTCTCAGCCATTCTCGCGCACCAGGAAGGTTTTTCTCGGCCATTCTCACGTACCGCAGGTGGATTTTGTCGGCCAAAACGCGTACCGGCCAATGGATTTCTCGGCCAAAATCTCCGGGTGCAGACACCTTTCCGAAATCTCCTGTCCAGGGAACCTTTCGGTCCGATTCAGTTGTCGGGTGCTTCATTAAAGTTGGAGAGCATTGGATCACGGTTCCAGAGCAAGTGGAATTATGGAATTCGGACGCGTGATCAGAAAGTTAAGCTTGTTGGAAGAAACTCCTGTCTCGCTGCCGTTTTGGACGAACCCGATAAGCTCCGAAGAATGCGAAGGACGGTGCACTTCCAGGCGGATTCGGTTTCCTGGGCCTTCATGAGAATCAGAGATATTTGAGTCCTCTTTCCAGAACGTCCGAGATCATTCAATTCGGAGCTATGATCAGGAAGATACGATCTCCGGAATGGACACATGTGTAGACGCCTCTCTTTGATCGTGTAAATGCACTGCGAAGATGAGCCCTCCAGGAAGCCTTCCACTTCCCAAGCACCGAAGCTTCCTTCACCAAAGTTGAAGGTATATGAGTCCTCTGTCCTTTGAAACCGGAAGCACACAATTCGGACAAGTATCTTAGAAGTTACACTCTCCGGAATGCGAAGTTGTCCAAACAGCCCTGAATGATGCAAGCTAAGTGAAACATGCCGCGATGGAATACCACACTTGGCCGTGGCACTTATTTGCAATCCTTTGGCGTTTGACACGATCTGAATGCCACGGTCTACACTTGATCATGGCAAAGTAACATTTGGCCGGGAAGAACTTTACAAGCATTCGGCACTTGACACGATTTCAATGCCACGGTCTAGGACTTGACCGTGGCAACTTTTACACACCTTCGGCGTTTGACACGACCACTTGCCACGGGGCTTGACCAAGAGCTACTAGACCGTGGCAATCCAAGAAGTTCATCACCCAAACCCAGAAAAGAAGAGACACGGCCACTAGACATGGTGTAAATCAAGCCATGGCAACCTTGATCATGAAGAATCTGTCCAAGAACTTTGAAACTATCAGTTTGCCACGGTCAGTTTGCCACGGTCTGTCCAAGCATCATCTAACCGTGGCAAACCACACCACTATCCATCAAAGCCGGGTCAGAACCCAGTTTGTCCTGGGCTGACCTGGTCCGCAAGAGACTATATATGCTTTTTACGGTTTTTTCCAAGACTTAAGCTTTGTTTTCTCTTGTTTCTTTTTCCCTTTTAGTGTAAAAACGAGTTTGATTAAGAGATATCTAAGGGATTTGATCATTCCAAAGCTATATCTCATCATCTCATCATCTCATTTCTGCTTCTAATCATGATTAACATCATCTCTTGCAGAATATTAGATGTGTTCTTCATGATTAGTGAGTAGTCATCTTTTAAGCTTCTAGGTGTGTAGATTAGGGTGCTTAGATGTTTGATTTGTGATGTTTAGGGTCTAGATTCTCATTTCATTTCCTTAGTTAGCTGCTCTTAATGCTAGATCTCTCATTATAAGCTTGATCTAGAACTTAGGCATTTCTCCACCCACAAGGTGTCTGATGAAATGCCTGAATGAGCTAACTTAAGGGTTTATGCCTTTTTCATCATGGAAATGATTTGTTAAATGCATGAATGACATATTAGAACTGTTTCTTAATGCTCATTGATTCATATTTCATAAGTGATGATTTGGTTTGAAAGTGGATTAGTGTAGAGATTAATGCCTTCATGAGAGGATTAGTCTAGATTAGAGTTCTAAGTTGACATGTTTGAGATCATGTGATTGCTTGTTATGTCTTTCTGTATAAGATTCAGTTTTTCTTAGCTCTTATTTTGATGCACAAAGAGGCTGTCTGGTCATATTAGACTTGGAACCTTATGCTTGTTGATTGCTTACTCACTAATGGGAATTAGTCTTGATTAAGTAATTTGCAAAGGATTTCTTTCATGGGAATGAATTAATCTATGTTGGAAGTCTAGACTAAAGAATTGCAAGTGTTGCATTATGTTCTTAGCATCATGATTCAATATCTAAAGCACCCTAATCAATGATCACATCTAGAGGTTTAGCTTTTATCATTTGCTTAATCACCATCATCTTGTTTTGTTTGCTTGCTTAGTTCATTAATCATAGCTTGTTTGTTTCTTGTTTTATGCTTTCTTGTTACTTTGTTCACACCAAAACTCACCTTTGATCACTTGACTTAAGAACTTATCACATAAACTAGTGCCTAACTACCACACATATGGATTGACACCCCTTATACTACTTTGACAAGGGGATTGATAACCCATCTAAGACCTAAAAACCTTACTTATCAATTGGCGCTGTTGCCATATTGTGTGGGGATTGTTAGCATTAGTTTCTGATATAGTTTTTGAGATCAAGTTTCTTTTGTTTTACTGATCACCTTTCAAGTTCTGTCTTTGTTCTCAGGTTTGTGATCACAAGAAGCCAAGCCAGAAGACAAAGAGAAAGAGCTGTTCACTTGGAGAGGTTAGGAATGAATCAGCAAGTTGGGAATGAGCATCAGGCTCAAGAAGCTGATCAAGGTCAAAGAGCTGGTAATGGGATTGGAATTCAGGCTCAACAGGCTCAGGTCCATCAGGGACACGCTCAGGGTAACCAGAACCAAGACCAACCTCAGGTTAATCCACCACAGCCCCACCCAAACCCACCCATCCGTCATCAGCCCCAACCAGTCTTTGTTGGTGAGAATGACCGAGCTTATGCACACCAGTATGGAGCAGGAATCAGGCCACCTCCTGTCCAAAACAACAACTTTGAGGTGAAGGCCTCTTTGATCAATATGGTTCAGAATCAGAAGTTTCATGGCTTACCTATGGAGGATCCCTTGGAGCATCTGGATCAGTTTGACAGAGTTTGTGATCTCACTAAGATCAATGGGGTATCTGAAGACAGCTTCAAACTGAGATTGTTCCCATTCAGCCTTGGAGATAAGGCACATCATTGGGAAAAGAACCTCCCAAGAGGATCCATCCACACATGGGAGCAATGCAAAAGAGCATTTCTAACCAAGTTCTTCTCTTCATCAAGAACAGCAAGGTTAAGAAATGAAATCTCAAGTTTCATTCAGAAGAACCATGAATCATTTTGTGAGGCTTGGGAAAGATTTAGAGGGTATACCATGAAATGCCCTCACCATGGATTCTCAGATTGTCAGCTGCTAAGTACCTTCTACAGAGGTGCTTTACCAAAGGTCAGACTTCTCTTGGACACAGCTTCAAATGGTAATTTCATGACCAAGGAAGTCAATGATGCCATGACCCTAGTGGAGAATGTAGCTCAGAGTGATGAGCTTTATGGATCAGACTTTGAAAGGAATTCAAGAGGAGCTGTGAGTGCTGAAGAAGAAAGGACAAGGAAAGACATCAAGTCTCTCAATGAGAAGCTAGACACACTTCTCTTAGCTTCTCATCAGTCAGCCAACCTTGTTAGAGATGTGAATCATGTGTTTCAAGACACATTTCAAAGGGAAGACATCACAGCTGAGGAGAACTTTGTAGGTGGCCAACAAGGTTACCAAAAGGGCTTTACCTACTACAAGAATCCCCCAAACCAGAACTTATATCCTCAAAACACTAAACAACAAGGTTTTGTCTCTCCCCAACAAAAAAGTCTCCAACAGAACTCAGAGAATAAGGATCAAGAAGTGCAGAACCTGCTCCAGCAAATCCTCAAAGGTCAAGCAAGTGGTGCCATAGACTTCAACAAGAAAATGGCAGAGATTAACAACAAGGTGGATTGCACTTATTCTGATCTTCTAACTCAACTTTCAACCTTGGCTTCCAAAGTCAAGACTCTAGAGAACAACAAGGGCCACTGCAGTTCTCATGCTCAAAGATCTTTACCAGGGACATCAATTGCACATCAAACAGAATACTGCAATGCAATCCTCTCAAATGATGAGAATCATGCTGCTGTCCAAGAAATTGAGGACCTTCTCCATGGCAA